GCCCCCCCAGGCCCCGCCCCGGCTACTCCCCCCCGGTGCTGCCGGGCCCTGCGCTGTGGGCCCCGCCCTCCTTGGGCCCGTGCAACAGCCCCTCAGCAGTGCAGGTACCTCCGTGCTGGTGCCCCCCCCCAGCACCCCCAGGCCCTGCCAGGCCCCCCCAGCACCACGGGGTGCTGCAGTGCCCCAAGTGCCCCTGGCAAAGCTGGGCCCCACCGCGGCCCCCCCAGCACGTAATCCTGGCAGCCTGCCCCATTGCCTGAGGGGCTGCGTGTCCCCCCCGTGCCTCAGGCCCTGTTTTCTTTCTGTTTTTTGCAATACAAAGCATCTTCTAGGCAGGCCATGAGCACACGCCAGTGAGACCAAAGCCCCGTACACACGTGGGGAGCCAGGATGCCCTTGCTGCGTATGCTGGAAGGGCTGCTTGGAAGCGAGGAGTGTGATGTGCCCTCCCGAGAGCCCCCCCGGAGCCCTGCGTCCAGCCCTGGAGTCCTCAGCACAGGAAGGACATGGAGCTGTTGGAGCAGGGCCAGAGGAGACCACAAAAATGTTCACAGGATGGAACAGCTCTGCTGTGGGGACAGGCTGAGAGCTGGGGGTGTTCAGCCTGGAGAAGAGAAGGCTGCGGGGAGACCTCATTGCGGCCTTTCAATACCTAAAGGGGGCTTGTAAGAAAGACGGGGAGAGACTCTTTAGCAGGGCCTGTAGCGACAGGACAAGGGGTGATGGTTTTAAACTGAAAGAGGGGAGATTCAGACTAGATATAAGGAAGAATTTTTTTGTGCTGAGGCTGGTGAGACACCGGCCCAGGTTGCCCAGAGCAGGGTGGATGCCCCATCCCTGGAGACGTTCAAGGCCAGGCTGGACAAGGCTCTGAGCAGCCCGATCTGGGTGAAGAGGGCCCTGCTGATGGCAGGGGGCTGGACTGCATGGCCTTTAAAGGTCCCTTCCACCCCAAACCGTTCTGTGATTCTATGTCGCTTCCCATTGCTCGGCATTTTACCTGGATCTGTCTGGTTAAAGCCCTCTCTGACTTTGGCTCGCTTCGCTGGATGTTCTTAGCCCCATTTCTTGCAGTCATCAGTTGCCTCACATCTCTCCTGTTACTCACAACCTTGCATCTGCCGGCTACGTGAGGGCTGTGGCGTCACAAGGCAGGGCAGTGCCCCGTGCCCTCGGGCTGCGGGCAGGATGCGGCCAGGGGTGAGTTGTGAAAGGGCTGGTGGGTGCCCCGGGAGGCCAGACCTGCTCCACCGTCGCCCATCGCCTGGGACACCCCAGGGGAACTTTGGCCACTCTCGGCATCGTTGGGGCACCGGCTCTCAATTCTGGTCTTCCCTGGCCACAGGCCCCTCCTGCACCCCCTGGGACTGAGCCGATGCCCTCAAAATCTGCCCCGGTTTGGGCAAAACTCGGCTGGGGAAGAAGCCAGGGGGATCTGTGCCAATGCAGGTGGATCAGACGCTCCCCAGAGAGGCGAACGCCGCGGCTTTGCTCACGGCGGTGAGGAAGGAAAGGTCTCCCAAGCGCCCCTTTGCCAGGACCCTGTGCCAGGACCGTGTCCCAGGGACCGTGCTCTGCTCCATCCCCGCCTCCCGGAGAGGCCGGGATGGAGGGAGAGGCGTGGGGGCAAAGGCGGCTGCTGTCCTGCAGAGCTCGCCTGAGCAGGGTTTCTGCCTGCAGAGCTCAACCCACTCCAGCCTCGGGGCCTTTTTGTACCTAACCAGACCCAGGACACGGGAAACTGGGGGGTGGGAGCCCCGGTTACCCCCTCTGAAGGCAGGGAAGGGTTTCTCTGCAGGCCCCGTGGCAGACAGGTGGCCAGGCTGGCAACCCCAGGGACGCGTGCTGGGATTTCTCCACACCACCGCTCTGTCCAAAGGCCACCCAAAAACCCCGCTGCAGCCGAGCCCTTGGCCCCACCTCGGAAAGTGACATCAGCCCCAAGTCACCCAGCCGAGGTGCCGCAGCGTCACCAAACCAAGGTGTGATGACAGCATGACGCTGGGCCAGGGCCGCAGCGCGGGGGCGGTTCTGGGTTCCCCTCCTGGCGCAGGCAGGCAGGCTCACGGCTGAACCCCGAACAGCCCCGCCAAAGGGACCCGGGAAACTCCCGCCCACCCCGGCAGCAGGGCCTGGGGGGCAGGCGATCCTCGGGATTTGGGAGGGTGGGAGGAACCCCAGATGTGGGAATAAAATGCCAGATGTGGGGAGAGAACGCCAGCACGGCTCCTCAAATGCGTCTTTCCATTCCAGGGAGGCAGCAAGGACACGGGGAGCTGCCACCGTGAAGAAGCCCCTCTCTGGTCAGCATTTTTGGGGACAGAAAGTGCAGCAAAGCCAAGCCTCTGTCACCATCCTGAGCATCACCCTGCACCAGCAGGAACAGCAAAGGAAGAAGCTGTGGTGAGCACGAGGCACAGCCCTCTTCTGAGCACCCAAAGTCCTCTTGCCCCAGATCTTGCAAAAACCAGGGGTGCACACCCACCCCGGGTGCCCCTCCGCCCCCCCGCCAGCTCCCTTCCCCCCTGCCACCCCCACAAACCAGGGCAAGAGCGCAACTGGGTCGCACTGGGGTCCAGCAAGACGAAACCCAGCCCCCTCAAAATCCTTCCCGTGGCCCCAAGGAATGCGTCTCTGTCAGGAAGTGAATTCTTGGCAGCAGGAGCAATAACAGAGGCGAGCTCGGCTCGCTGTGGCAGCTTGGGGCAGCGCCCAACACATATTTCCCCGCAGTTCCAAGCTTTAAAGCACAAACAAACACCGGCACATACTTGGCACTGGGCTGGAACATTGCGTCCCGGTGCAAACACCCAGCCCCAGCCCCCGCTGTGGGGTGGGCTTGAAGGGCTGCGAAATGGCCAACTGGGGGTGGAAGACGCAGAGCAGAGGCTTCAGACGGCCCCAGGGAGCGTCAGTGGGTGCGTTTGGACAGCGGCCCACCCCAGTGACGCCATCAGCTGGGCTGTTAAACTCTAGAAATGAAAGGTGTGACGTCAAGGCTGAAAACCTCGGAGGTGAAGCCTCGGGGAAGGTTGCCAGTGGGGACAGAGGGAGGCAGGGTGGGGTGGGAGGGTGTCACAGTGGGGCAGCCCTGCCCCCTGGGGAGGGCACAGGAGCCCCCGCCCCACGGCACAGAGTGGGAACAAGGATTTGTTTTGAATGCAGGAGGATAAAAACCACCTCCCCCTGTGCTCCCCCCACCCATGGCCCCTGTGGCTGCACAACGGGATGGACCCCATACCACCCCCCAGCCCACGCACATCCAATGCACCCCATTGCTGGGCGATGGCACCCAGACACCCCACACCCACCTTCTTGCCCCCCGCACACCCCAGAGCCTTACGTATCGCTGGGGGACAGCCCCACGGAGAACCCACAGCCCAGCACAGGCACCCACGGTCCCATAGCTGGGGTTCAGCCCCACGCACACCCCACAGGCCCCACCACCAGGGGACAGCCCCACGAACACCCCCCAGCCCTGGGGTTGGCCCCTGCACAGCCCATAGCCCTGTCGCTGGGGACGGCCCCACGCAAACCCAACCACCCCACTGCTGGAGGTCAGCGCTCCCTACGCCCCACAGCTGGGGATGAACCCCACGTACACCCCGTGGCTCCGCTGCTGGGGGACAGCCCCACACACGCTCCACAGCCCTCGCACAGCCCCCAGAGAAGGGTACCACACTGCTCACGTATCCGGGGTGGCGGAGGTGTTGCACAGCGTTCACTGAACCAAGCCCTGAAGGGGGAGGAGGAAGAAAGGGCAGGGACTTTGAGCACTTTGCTGAGGGTCTCCCCACATGCCCTCTCCCACCTGGTGCCCATCCCTGGGGTGCAGGAGCATGGCCTTCCCCGCCTCAACAAAACCCTGCATGGGGTCGGCGAGCCCAAGCCCTCCCTCCGCGCCCCATCCCACCCCACGGCTGCACTTCGATGGCCTTGCTCGAGCCACACAAGTCCCTCAGACATCCCAACAGCTGGTGCTAAATGTGTCTTTCCTCCTGCTGGCTCACTCCAGCAGCCCTGGGGGCATCAAGCCTCCCACTGCTACCAGCCTCATCCTTGTGGTAATATTTTATGAAGAGCAGAGGATGAGAATGCAAACGCCTCCGAGATCCAGGGCGGTTCCCACTGCACCCCTGCCCCTAAGGGAAGTGCGGCATCATCACCCCCTCGCAGCCTCCCCGGCGGAATGGAAATAACCAGGCTCCACAGCTACTGCCCTTGTATGGAATTGCTTTTGCTGGTTCTCATCCTGTGTTGTCACAATTGCTTCCCCCTCCTGCGCAAGCACGCCTGGCATTTCCGGAAAACCGGGGAAAGCTGTGGTTTGAGAGCCGTCCCCTCCCCCTGGCCCCCCCTCAGCACAGGGCAGTCCCCAAGCTGCAACGCCCCTTTGCAGTCTGCACTGATTTCCTCTTTTTTTTTTTTTTTTAAAAAAAAAAAAGCAACCATAGCATTCTAGAAGAGAGGAGAGATGAACATGTAAAAAATTATATATTTTTTATATATATGATTCATATCTATTTACAACCTGGCTGGGACAGCAGAACATCCAAGGAGGTTGCACAGCCACTGCCAGCACCGCCCTGGCCAGGTCACGCAGGGGCTGGAAAGGCGACGGAGAGCGAAGCACGGACCTGTGGTTACAAGTGGGCAGCTCCCAATCCCGCTACGCTCCCTGCCCGCTCCGCAGAGAGAAAACCGTCCTCCGTGGCCATGGGGGCAGCAACGGAGCCCCTTGCTCAGAGCACCCTGACAAGCGGAGCGGCAGCTGGCTAACTCCAAACCACCTGAAGGCAGACACAAGCATCCAAGCACACCCTTGGCAAACACTCTCCTGGGAAGCAACACCGCATTCCTCGCTCCAGCCAGCAGCAGGAAAAGCGCGATAAGTGAAACAGGTTCTCGGGAACGCCCGGGTCAGCCAGCCAAGAACACACGTAAGGAAAGCTGTGCCCTGCCTTGGTTTCTCCTGACCTGATGGGAATCCGTTAAAAAAAAAACCAAAAGTCCACTCGACTTTTGCCCAGATGCCTTCAAAACCAGGCCTAAACCGGGCAGCTTTAGCACTGCCCTGGCGCAGGCATGCCGAGACCTTCCGCGACGCAGGACGGGAGGCTGCTTCATCTCCACTGCACGAGGAGCGGTCAGGATACGCACCAAGCGCGCACATCGTTCTGCGGGCTGCAGCCATCCCACCAACCTTTTGTTTTGTTTTTTGTTTTTTTGTTTTTTGTTTTGTTTTTCTCAGGCCTGGAACAAAGAAAAGGCAAAACGAAAAAAAAAGGGAGAAAAAAAGAAAGAAATTCGAGCTCAGGGTGCCTGACACTGTCAACACAGGTTTGCTTCTACGCTCCTCTCTTCCCAGTCTCCATGCTCTCCGTCTCCAGTGTTTTCCTCCCTTCCGGGGTGGTTATTCCCAGTCCTGCCTCTCCCTCCAGAGATCAGCTCCAGCAGCTCACATCTGTGGCCCCGGCTGCTGCTGGCCCCGCTTTGCAAGCGCCAACGGCTGCGCATCAGGCAGGGGCCGCACGCGACCGCACAGGGCTCTGCCTCGCCACGCTCTCCCGCGTCCCAGGTGCCCTGCTGCTGGTGGCATTCCAGCTCCCTACCCGGCAGCCGGGAGAGGAGGCGTCTCTCAGCCCTGCCAAGGCAGACAGCCTCACTCGCCAGAACCCACCGGGGAGAGAGAAACTGTCCCCAGACCCTCCGGGGCAGCCGCGAGCCTCACACCAAGCCCCTCCGTCACAGCCACGCTCGGATGCAGCTGTGGCGGGGCTCTACCCCCGGAACAGCAAGCGCCTCATCGCAGCTCCAAGCCGCGGGGACTGTTTCAAGCACTGCCCGGCCCCCCTCCCGCAGCCGTCGGACACGTCGTCCCCTCCTGTGGCCTCAGCTGCTTTGTGCACGCAGGGGACAGATCCCAGGCAGCCCAGCCCAGCAACACGGTCTTGTAATTTTTTGCATATCAGCTAATTTCTTCACTTTGAAGCTCTAATGCACACACCTAACTAAACTTCCAGATCACGTATCACACCTTTTGCCCAGCCGGTTCTTCCTCTGCGGACACCTGACACCTGAAAAGCATTCACACACCACAGCTCCGAGCTCTCCCCTCCTACCCGGTGCCAAGCAAACAGCAAGCAACTCCTCTGAGCGCTTTCCTGCTTCTCGCAGGGCCGCTCGGCTCTCCCAGCAAGGAGGCAGCGCTTCAGTGGCTCGGCGAGCACAGATGGTTTCAAACACCATGAAAATTAAGGCAGCAAACAGACTTGCTAAAAGGAACGGCCCAATCAAAATTGCCTGTGCACTCCAGGCTACCGACACCTCTCGCTCGCCTTCTCGGTTCTGGTGTGTGTTCGCTGTAAATACACAAATAACTACGTGGATTCTGGTGCTCCCGTCCCTATGGTACAGTGAAGTTCAATCCATTTAGCCAAAAGGAAAAAAAAGAAAACAGGAAAAAACCCAGGCTGTGTGTGCAGGCTACCCTGCCAGCTTGCTGGTTACAAGTGAGGATTTTCTCTGCGGGAGGTCCTGCGGCGTGGGGATGTGGTCTCCTGTCACCAGGTTCTTGTCTGGCCCCGCGCTTGGCAACTGCTTGTTCTTCATCTTTGCCTTGGCCATGTTGTAGTCACCAGAATCGAAGTATTTTTGCTGGAAGAGGGAGAGGAGTTTGGGTTACTTTGAGCTGCAGGTGGGGACACGGCAGATACAGACACCTGGCCACAAATACGATCCTTTAAGGAGCCGCTGGAGTTGCTCAAAACCAGGTCACCAAAACATCACACAAGGGGAAAATCCAAGCAAGGGAGCCTGGCCTGATGCAGAAGGCCTTCACCACCCATCCACAAGCCCCAGCGGGACTCTGAGCTGCCCCAGCTGGAAGCAGCTTTGCCCCGCAGCAGCTGCCTGCCTCGAGATGCCAGGGTGCGTTTTCTCCCTCTGAGGCACCTCTGGGTGTTTGCAGCCTGTGAACTTGGCACGGCACTTGCTGGGTAAAGACCAGCTTTGTCCTGCTCTGCCCTCGCACCACACTCGGCGCAACAGGGATTCAATCCCGGTCCAGAGACCCCCAGAGCGCGAAACGCAGGCACAGCCACGTCAGCAGATGCCTCCAGGCAGAGGCTCAGCCGCAATGGCAAAGCCAGGGAACTTTTGCCGATACGGTTTATTCTGGTTTGGTGAACGAATGAGGCAGTGTGACAGAGGCAGGAATTTCTCCCCAGGGAGCACAGCCTGGCCGGTGCCAAGGCCTTCGCCGGACTGTCCAGGCTCCCAACAGCCAAAATGACGCAGAGAAATGCCTGCAAAGACGTGGCCGGAGGACACCTCCCTGCTGCACAGCACCACCGACCCGGGGTTCAAAGGGCACATCGCTCCCTTATCACATACACCACCACGGGACTCTGCGTTCCTTCAAGGCGCTGCTTCACCCCCCACAGCGGCGTAGGAGAGGCTGAACACCAAAGCAGAGCTTACGCTGGTGCTGCAGCCAGGGCTTTGCTGGGCTCTGAAGAGCCCAGTTCTGCCCCGATGCACCAGCAGGCCCCAACGAGCCCAGTCCCGACCAAAATCCCTTCCCCGGTCCAGCACCAAGCCATTAAACCATTAAACTCCTTTCCGTGCTTGCTTTAGGAGCTGGTAGCTAAAACACCACTCCCAGCGATCACGTCAACAGCGAGGGCGAGCACGCAGAGCGGCTGCTCAGGCAGAGGGGAGAGCTGTCAACGCAAGGCGGAAGGGAAGCGGCAGGACAGAGCCAAACCCTGCGCAGCGCGACATGGAGACACCGTGCGTTCAGAGCGGGGGAAGGCACGCGGCCACGGGCTGCCAGCAGCTCAGGAGGAATTTATGTTTTCTGCGCCAGCCTCCGCAAGGAGGAGAGCCAGCAGTGGCAACCCAAGCAGGCTACAGATGGCTCGCGGAGAAGGATTTAATTACATTTCCAGGGAGCAGAGTCAGAGGGTTGGCTTTTTACACTGGTGCCAGCAGTGAAGGTGCAGCCAGCTGACTCGTGGGCATTCTCGGTGTCCTTTGCACCAGCCCAGAACCCAGGCAAAGTGCAGACCAGAGGGAAAAACCCAGGCCCGCAGCATCCCAGTGCCCCACTGAACCCCAGGCAGCGCAGCAGCAGGCGGGGGGGAATTATGCACTTGTTTTGCCTCTAGACCCCAGGTTTCAGGCCAGGGTGTGGAGGACAGGGTGGGATCCACTGCTGGGGGAGATATGCAGAGCAAAACCACCTGAGAGGCGGCAGCTTTTGGGTTCTGAGCAGCACAAGCCCTTTTTGCTTGACCACAGCAGCCCTCACTGCTTCAGGCTTGTGCCCGCTGGGTGCCACATCCAGCGCAGGCACTGAAAGGAGCCTGGCCCAGGGTTCAACAGACTTTTTGACCTGGGGAATTTTGGTGTGATTCCTCCGGCCTGGTTGGAGCTTGGCTGCCTGTGCCGTTGAGGGAGGAGAGGACACGGACAAGCCATGGCCGAGAAATAAATACCCCTTTCTGCAGTCTCTTCATGAGGAAGTCGGAGCCTCCGGGCTTGTGGCCCAGACTGGGGTATTTGGCCTTCAGTTTTGCCTCTTCTGCTCTCTCAGGGGTGACTGCTTCCTTCTCCTGTGTGTCCTGAAAAACAAAGAGGGGGTGGAAAGCCCTTCAGCCCCACGGGAAGAACACAGACCTGCGATGCCATAACGCAATATTCAGCAGCGCCTCCCAACCCCAGTGCCTGGCTTGCCGAGCAAGGTGTGGTCCCCTGAAAGCCCAGATGCACTCGGATCATATTATAAACACCTTCCCGGCCAGAAACCACCTCTACCTCCAGTCCCTGTGGAAACCGGCTGAGCCCCTCTCCCTGCCTCCTTCCCAGACGGGCGTCCTTGCAGGGACTTGCGCTGACATTTGGCTTTGCAAACCGGGCTTAAAATGTCACCGCAAATCGCTGCTGGACAAGCACCTTCCCCTGACCAGCAACAGGTCAGCCCAGCATCGGCAAACACCAGTCCAGAGCTGCCCAGTGTGATGGGCTGCGGCAGCGCACTGCACTGCGGGGAGGGTTCAGCCTTGCTGCTCCCCATTGCAGCACAGACGAGATGGAAGAAGCCCTTCTGCTCCAAAACCAATTTATTGGGAATGACAACAGGCGCAGGCAGCAAAGCAGCGGTTTAGCACCTGTTTCACAGCCACAAGACTTTCAGGATGCTCTGGGGAGCCACCCAGCCCACTCGAAGCCTGGGACCCCTGGGGCGAATGGCAGCAGGAGGTGCCAGGCCCTGGTTGTCGCCTGGCCCCTCTGCAGGGGCTTGGAGACACCTCCCAGCCCAGCTGTTGAAGAAGCATCAGCTGAGCAATGACGCCCGAAGGGGGGTTCCCAGCGCAGGGCTCGGGATCTGCTCCCCAGCCACCAGCCTCTCTCTTCGGGAGGCGCGTTCCCGCCTCCAGGGAAGCAGCGCAGGCCTGGGGACAGGAGCTTCGGCCTGGGGTGGGAAGGCGTCAGGGTCCCAGCAGGGCCTGGAGAGCCTCACCCACAGCAAGGACGAGTTCTGGCTGGTCACTGGTCTGGCTCCAATGGGAACACCTCACCGCTGGCCACCTCCGCCACCGGCCACCTGGGGCCGAGCCACCGCACAAGCACGAGTCACTGTTTCACAGGATGTTGGCCAGGGGTGTTTGTCATTGCTGTTCCCTTTCCAGCAGGGACAATGCCGGCAGACTTGGCAGCGGCAGCCCTGCTCCTGCCTCTTGGTTGTAGTGAGGTGGGGGTCGGTCTCTTCTCCCCAGGAACAAGCGCTGGGACGAGAGGGAACGGCCTCAAGCTGCGCCAGGGCAGGGTTGGGTTGGGTATTAGGGAAAATTCCTTCCCGGAAAGGGCTGTCAGGCCCTGGCCCAGGCTGCCCAGGGCAGGGGCTGAGTCCCCATCCCTGGAGGGATTTAAAAGCTGAGGAGATGTGGTGCCTGGGGACATGGTTCAGTGGTGGCCTTGGCAGTGCTGGGTTACCGGTTGGACTCGATGATCTTGAGGGTCTTTTCCCACCTTAACGATTCTATGATTCTGTGCCAGCCTGGCTGCACCGATGGATGCCATGTGCATCTTCTCTCCAGCGCCAAAGCCCTGACCCGCTCCCAGCCCACCAGAGATGGCAGGCTCCATGCAATAAGCGTGGCAGAACGC